AGCAGCTGTGCAAGTACCTATCGGTGTAGAAGATGAGCTGAAGGGCGTTGTTGATCTGGTGCGCTGGAAGGCCATTTATAACGAGGGCGAGAAGGGGTAAGCAGTTCGGCGTTGGGACGGGCTCTACCCCTAACCCTATCCTCCAGCAACAACGTTGTAATCTCAGACGAGATTCCGGACTCTGTGATCGATTTCGCTAAGCAGAAGCGTCGCGAGCTCATCGAGCAGCTGGCCGACGTCGACGATCAAATTGGCGAAATGGTCATCATGGAGGAGGAGCCCAACACGCAACAGCTGGCGGATGCCATCCGCCGCGCCACTGTCGCCCTCAGGTTCTCTCCGGTCTTCATGGGCTCGGCGGTCAAGAACACCGCGGTTCAGCCATTGCTCGATGGTGTCTGCGCGTATCTTCCCACACCTTCGGAATCGGAGGTCACTGCACACGACACTTCGCTGCCTGCCGATGCGCCTATGGTCCCCCTCGTTCCCGCTGCCCGGGCCCCGCTCGTCGCGCTTGCCTTCAAGCTCGAGGAAGGTCGATTCGGCCAGCTGACGTACATACGCGTGTATCAGGGTTCGATGCGCAAGGGTCAGTTCATCATCCATGCGCACACGGGCAAGCGTGTCAAGGTCCCGCGTCTTGTGCGCATGCACAGTAATGAGATGGAGGACATCGACGAGATTGGGCCCGGCGAGATCTGTGCCATTTTCGGTGTCGACTGCTCGTCTGGTGATACCTTCACGGATGGCTCGACGTCGTATTCGATGGTATGTTGTCATGTTTACGCTAGATGGCACGGCGATTGAGCTGCCCCTGCAGATGTCGATGTACGTTCCTGAGCCTGTTATCTCGCTCTCTCTTACACCCAAAGGTCAAGAAACGCCAAATTTCGCTCGTGCACTGAGCCGCTTCAAGAGGGAGGACCCGACGTTCCGCGTGCACGTCGATAGCGAGAGTAAGGAGGTGAGCTTCCATCCGCATTGCTTCAGATGACTCGCGGGTTGACGTTGTATAGACGATCATCTCCGGCATGGGCGAGCTTCATCTTGAGATTTATGTCGAGCGGATGAAGCGAGAGTACAATGTCGACTGTGTAACCGGCAAACCACGCGTCGCGTACCGCGAGACGATCACGCAGCGCGCGAACTTCCACTATACGCACAAGAAGCAGACCGGTGGTGCCGGTCAGTATGCGCGTGTCATCGGCTTCGTGGAACCGATGGAGGCCGACCCAGCCACTGGCAAGGACACCGAGTTCGTTAACCAAGTTATGGGCGGGAACATTCCACTCCAGTACATTCCTGGTTGTGAGAGGGTAAGATGTCTGCATGGCCACGATGATGGTGATGAAGCGGCCTGACGGTCTCTTTGCAGGGCTTTTTCGAGGCTCTCGAGAAGGGCACATTGTCTGGAAATCCGATCTGCGGCATCCGGCTCGTTATGCAGGACGGTCTTGCTCACCTGGTCGATTCTTCCGAGCTTGCTTTCCGAAATGCTACTATTGGCGCCTTCCGAGAGATCTACTTCAAGTCGCAGCCAATCATCCTTGAGCCCATCATGGCGGTCGAGGTTGTCGCGCCGTCTGAGTTCCAGAGTATGTTCTCACCAGGAATTGCGAATAGCATCAAGTTAATTGGGGTTGGGCAGGTGCGGTCATCGGTGGGCTGAACGCGCGTCGTGGGACGATCACGGATAGTGAGGTCCGGGGAGAAGAGTTCGTATGCACGGCAGACGTTGCCCTGAACGACATGTTCGGTTACTCTAGCCACCTGCGCGGCGTCACCCAGGGCAAAGGTACGTCTCTTGTACCGCTTGACCAAGCCATATCTCATAACTTCCTTGCAGGTGAGTTCAGTATGGAGTATAAGGTACGGACCTGCTTCATGCGACGTGTCCTATATTAACTCTCGCTTGTAGAACCACGCACCAGTGCCGCCTCAGATTCAGAAGGAGATGTCGGAGGCATACAAGAAGAGCCTTCCACAGGCGAAAAAGTAGACGATATGATATCATTGTACATCATTTAATGCTGGTCCTTACTTTCGACATTATTGTGGTCATTCTTTGACGCATCTCACGCTGTTATAACATATCATGCATCTTACTTTAGCGAGACATCTTGGAGCAGTGACCGGTGGTGATCTGGTAAGCAATCATTACCCTGGCATTCGTGACTGCCTACGAGATGCTGCGTTTTCGAGCTGTTGCATAGTTACGGTGCGTCATCCACCTAGAACTTCATCCCCGAACGTCGAACTGGAAGGACATCCGCTTCAATCGTGCAGGTAAGGGAAACGGATTTGGTACCTGCATTTTGCCAGCAACTGATCCTCGCACATATGTGGGCCACGGGCGACCCATCTGTATGCTTTCATGATATACTGGCTAGTTTCGGTCTCAGTATCGGCGCTGGTCATCAATATATCGTGGCTAGCTGCGAGGCAATGGGCACGTTCTTTGCTGTGCTGAACGTACACATGCGCCTTTCGTCCACCTTCGGCGTTGCACTCTGGTGTTGGATACAATGTTCTCCTCTGCAGTGTTCTAAGCGATCAGGCTCGAGAACGACCTCATTGCTTGCACCACGCTGTCTCTCGGTTTGACCCCACTTGTCACAACCCTAGTGAGCGCTGTCTTCCGGAGAGATGAGGATGTTGGTCATATTCGTGATCCTTCGACGACCGCTCTCAGTATATCATCGACCCACAATCATACTCATATTACACTAGCGAGCCGAAGTACAATCCTAATCGTAAGGCGCTATGACAACTGCGGGTGCGGATGGTTGATAGCCATCCTCTGCATTGACAGTGAGCTATGCTGCCTGGGCGGGCGTCGTCTTCGCAGACCTGCTCGTCGTCGCCGAGAAGTGGTCGCGCACGTACGCCTTCGTGCGCCGGTAGGGCACCTCGAGTCCGCTCATCACCCTCTGTCTCCGAGACGGTGAGCAGCTATTCTCCTTCTTCATGTCGCTCGCGACGTCGATCTCAGTGCGCAGCGTGATTAGGGACGCTGTGTTTCCTGTAAGCAACTCAGAGCGCCCAGTTGTGACTAGATGTATACACGTCTCCGACAGGATCAGCGCGACCCTGCTGCTCAACACCACCGAGCGGTGCATCAACCAGAGCTGAGTGCACACCTCCGCCTCCACGCCGCCCGGCTCGGTTTTTCGTGAGCGCCCGCGACGATTGGTACACTATCGTACAACCACGCGATTTGGCCCATCCGCATGCACTGTCCTCGGGCTGGCTGGCGTACTACTGGCAATGACTGGGGGGGCCTAATCGCGCCCCTACTCGTCTCGCGGTTCCTCCATCTTCGGCAGGCCTCCAAGTGAGGCTCACGCTGCGGCGCGCCCTGGACGGACAATGACGCGACGTCGTGGCTCGAAGACAAGACGGAGGATGGATGCCGTAAGGAATTCGACGTTCTCGTCGAGGCTTGTGGAGAACATGAATACGGTGCTTGTGTTTGCTTCTCTCAGTGAAGATGAACACTTGGGAGACCAGAAGAGGTGGGTTGGATCTGCGGTGTCAGTGTGAGCACTGGGCAGAGTGCTGTTGAAGGTAAGGACTTTGATATCCCGCGTGATGCGAGATGTACCATGACACAGCCAACGAGGATCAGTGTGCTTGGTTGTCGGGCAGTAGCCACGAAAGCCCCGGAGACTTCGATGGGAAGGCAATCTACATGTATGGCGCATCAATAATTTTGTATGGTGTTCAGATGCTTTCGACCATGGGTCTTCTGAGGCAAGTTGCGGTGAAAACACTGGAAGCGGCCATGCATAAAGTGCTATGATAAGATGTCCAAAATATTCAATGCTGCGTACGCTTCCTTTCTGAGCAGTTCTAATCAGACCTCCCTCATGAGTTAGACTGGAGGCTCATCCATTCCTACGGCCGCCTCGAACGCGTCCTCCATTGCTTTGAAGCCACGGCTTGCCGTCGACGCCGCCGCGCTCTGTGCCTCTGACGCGGACGCATCAGAGGGATCCATCATGTATTTCACGGCATCGCTGCCGCATATAGTCAGCTTCACTGCAGCACAACGATCGTGACGTGGGCTGAGCTGCTTACCCAGTCTCATGTGCCGCAACAGACGATAGACTAGCGGGAGGAACGTAGTCCCTCACTGCACCCGCAATTGCGTTCGCTAAATCCTTGCTCGGGATGCCCAGCGCAACCGCAAGCTCCTCTATTCTCTTCTCGACCTCTCCGCTCTCTCCCTCATTCCCAAATTGCCCCGCGTTCGCATTCACGCTCGCCGACGCACCCGTGTTCGCGTCGCGGTTTTGGAGCTGGGGCGGCCGCTCGCCGAGGGCGAGGTTCCACCAACCACCGACCTCAGCCTTCCACTGCATGAGGCGCCAGACGTAGAAGGCTGCGATAACCGTTGCGAGGAGGCCGAGCAGATAATTGAAGCGCGAGAGCGAGACGTTGGAGAACGGTGGGGAAACAGAGCGCAGGCCCTTGCGGTCGCGCTCTGGTGGGAGATCGGTTGAGGTGTTCTTGACGGCGGACTTGCCGTGGATGCTTGACGACATGGAGGAGGTGTGTGACGAGGGGACCTCAAGGAACTGGCACGCGTCGTGAGCAGTAGGTAGAGTCGTCGGTGACTGGGTAGGTGGGGGAAATTCATCGAGGAAGACGGCTTATAGGGGAGCGTGGGCGTCCGCTGTCCTCCCGCCATCTAGCCATGACGAGCGTGCGGGGCAGGCCATGACGTCACGCGTTTACTCCTTGACGCGTAAGTACAGTTGTCAGTAGAGTCATGATTTCAAGTGAGCATAGCCCAATTTGGCAAGTGTCGCAGTCCCTCGCCCTTCTATGCTCCGTCATACTATACTAGATAAGGAACGACTATCTTCCTTACTTGTATATGGTCTGTAACGGAGACTACGTCATACTGCCGTTCAGGAGATTCTTGCCGGAGGAAAGTTTCCAGTATGTCTAGGGCATTCATTAGGTTGTGTACCTGTCAAACCTATATGTGATATGCCGAGATAGCTCAGCTGGGAGAGCAGCAGACTGAAGTCGGCGATGTTACATCCAAGACGCTTTCTGAAGGTCGGGCGTTCGATCCGCCCTCTTGGCATTTTGATTTTGAGAGGAGCAAAGATTTTTATGTGCATGCCCTTTGTATACACTTGGGACCCGGCCATTGCAATGCCTCCCATGAGCAAACTTCATTAACCTCGTCGCATTGATGCAAAGGATAGACCGCTCAACTGATGATACTGTAGCAACTGCTAGCAGCACATTGTGGGCAAGTCATGTGTACACTCTTCCATTTGTCAAACAATTACACCAATCAGAGACACCCCAACGTGTTACCCTGATGGCAAGTTGTTGTATGTAACCATAATCCACATCAGATGAACTGAAGAAAGGGTTCCACTGTGATGCCAACTAAGGCTCCAACAATATAATATACATACTGTGTATATATGGTTTTTACCCTATACTTTATACATATATATACAGCTCTGGTGTACTTTGTATATATATAGTATTTACATAGTATATGGTTGGGGTGAGGCAGTTTTTTTCTGAGCTGGAAAACTCAGTAGACAGTCTGATCATGGGGTCTGAAGTTTAGTGAGAGATGACTGAGTCATTAGGATACCTTCATTACTCCCTTCCCTGCTCTTCAGAATAACTTAGAAGATAATGCAGACCATTATGCACACTTAACACCACTGTTTGTAGGGTCACAGTCTTTCAAAATCAGTGGAGCACTCCAAATAGGGCTGAGTTTATGACATGCACACTTTGCTTCATGAATAGTACATGTTCTTTGGGAGAG